CAGAGCACAGATAGCCCATCGTGTAGCTTTGTGCTTAACCTCAAACAAACCGTAATGAAACAGAATAATATTTTTTAATGTAGATGATATAAAGGAATACTTCGGTAAAACCGCACGTGTTTAGTCATTTTCATCTAGCCATTAGAAATGCTGTAACCTGAGCAAAACAAATATATTACACACGCAGAGAATCTAAGTTTTCGCTACTTTCCTAACCCGAAGAGTCTTTATTCAGAAAAGATATATATATGTAAGTTTCTTGACTTACCTATGAATCCTGGTGGACAATCACAGATGAAATCGTTAATATCGTCTATGCATATCCCATTATTCAGGCAGGGATTAGAAAGACATTCGTTTATGTTGACTTCACAAAACTGACCTGAAAAACCATAATATAAATACTGATTCTACAAAACTAAATTACATTTTAATTATTAAATTTAAACTCTAACACAAAATTAATAAAATAAAGTGTGATTTAGTACACAAGGCTGTGGCTTTTCATGTATCTAACAGTGCTTGAAACTTATTTGAGGATAACGAATCAAGAGAAAATTAAGCACAAACCTATTTGCTAGTCTCTTACATTCAAAACGTATTATAGCTACCAGATTAAAATGCCTCTAGACTCGTTAAAAAGGTGTTAAATATTATTCAATAACTTCATTGGCGTCCTGTAGTACATAACACCTCTTTGTATGTTGCTTAGCTGCAGCTGAAGTCTGAAGAATATTAAGAGCTAAAATATTCGTATTTTAAAGGAATATCATTATACTGTCAAGCATAAAATTATCTGCCAGTCTTTTAAGCTCAAAGTTATTAATGATTGTGATAGCTCTTTTTTTCTTCAATTGAAAAACATTTTTTGAATTTTTTACAGCAGATTTGACTTTATCCAGTATGGTTTATGATGTGTTATTTTATATTTCTTTGTACGTCTCATTTTTCAATAATTCTTTAGACTTGTTGTAGATGCAGTAAAAGATATATGTCGAATAGAACAGCTAGACATTGAATACCAGTATGATGAATCCAATTATTACTACTGGATATAGGAGTGATACTGAAAGATAGCTTTAACCATGACTAAAACAGATTAAATAATAGAGACGCATACATTCAAGAAATAAAATGACTTGATTTTTGGCTTCCAGATCTTTTCCGTGTATCAAACAGTAAATGAGTTTAGAAAATTTGACGTATGATATATGTCACCTAGATTACTAACAATGGTCAAACTAATGAAAGATAGAACTACTTTAGAATAAAGAGGGTTGAGTACGTATATCAAAACTATCTTTGATATTCGTTACATTACAGTCCATTTCAGCACATCCAATCATGCTCTATCTGATGACCGTGCATCATCACATTACCCCTGATGCGTAGTTTCCACTGCAAAACGTTTTCTTGTAAGGTTGTCACATACAAAGCATACTACTCATTCCCACAAGCTTTACATATTCCGCTTTGTGTACAAGTATGGCTGTTTCTCGGTGCCCGTTTCAACAGTCTAACCACATATAGGAGTTGCATCTGGCAATTTGATCAGTATGTCTTTGTATGGCATAGCATGAATACCTGTTTCATTTTCCAGTTGTCTGTGGTATGTGATAGATCAATGGAATGTATGACTGAAAACATTATCTTGGTGAACCTATAGCCTACATTATGTTCATGGATTCCCATATGTTAAATTATGTCACACGCGGTGCAACTTATTGCAGGGCTCTTTCTGTGTGGTCCTGGTGTACCAAATTGATCCACATGTCTTTGTTTTCCAATTCTGTTAAGTACAAGAAATATCCCTATCTTGAAAATTATTAAGCCCGATCTGCATATATCTTTATGAGTTCATTGTATGAATATTTTGTGTTGAAAAGGGCAGTTACCTACCATTCCCGAAAGCAATCAATCTTCGATAGCTTCGCACTTCCTATTAAATGCCAAACAATGTCAAAATGTAGTTCAAGTTGTTCTGATACATGTCGTTCCATTGCGATTTTGGCTGTAGTTTTCATATCACTTACTGATTTGCATATTCAAAATCGTTTCAATATAATGTACAAAAAACCTCTGGTCTGCTTACAACCTATAAAAGTACATACCCTTCTATTTATAAAGCTTAACTTAGTGTATATGCTATGCCATATGTTTACATTATTGTTATATATCCATAAATGGGAAACAAATCACAGAAAAAGTTAATTCTAAATCAAGGTTTTAGGCAACTCATCGTTATGCACACTAGACAATCAGTTCAATCGCTTTTACAACAGCCTTGAAAGATCATTCCTAAAGGACACTAGTCACAAAAAATAATGCCCCTTTTTTCTGTTAATTCAATGTCATAGAAAGAACAATACTACTTGAACCGTCATATTTACTACAGGGCGTTTATGATAGAGTTGTAATGATGAGTTTTTTGATCATCTTACGGAAATTATCGAGAAATAATATGGTAGAGCCCGAATGATTGTGTAATGTCACAGTTGCGAGAAGAAACAACGATGCCATTGGACCAACCCATATCTGTGAAGCTGTACATGATAATGTTCACTATAATTCTGAGATTATTAAATGCATCTTAACGAAACTTTACGAGCTTTTAGGAAACGTTATAAATCTGTTGTACACAAAAAGAAAAAAATAAATCAGATTTTTTCAATAAAATTTTTCTACTAAAGATTTGTCTATGAGTTTCCAAAGCCTTTACTGCGTCAATCTCAGTGAAAGGGCGGTTTTCGTGATAAAAATACTTTTTTCATCTTACAGTTTCATATTTCATTTGAGTAACCTATAAATCGTTTTAAATGGATATCAAAAGTGTTTTTCGGTAAAATGTTTTATTTTATCTCTTATTTTCTCAACCTAGCACTAACTGTAACTTAAATCGTCAATATACAGTGGTATAAAAAAGTTGAAAAAATGAAATAAAAAATACCTTTCTTTTTCGCCTCCTATGATGGCCAGGTGGTTAGGGGGCTCGATTCATAATCTGCGGGTCACGCGTTTGAACTCCCGCCACACCAAACGTGCTCGCTCTTTCAGTCGTGGGGGCATTATAATGTGACGGTCAATCCCACTATTAGTTGGTAAAAGAATAGCCCAAGAGTTGGCGGTAGGTGGCGATGACTAGCTGCCTTGCCTCTAGTCTAACACTGCTAAATTAGGAACGGCTAGCGCAGATAGCCCTCGTGTAGGTTTGAGTGAAATCCAAAACAAACAAACAAAAAAACGCCTCCGATGAATGAGTTATTTATTTCAGTTTTTCAAATTCCTTACTTTTACAGTTTTAACTGTTAAAGTTTTTAATGTCATGGTTTTATTGCTAACATAGAAGCAGCCCATCAAAAGCAGTAAATCAAATAATATTTGCATAAGTTTATATATTCTTATTCACAAAGCCACATAATGAGTTATCCGTGCCCTCTCCATCACGGGTATCGAAACCCGATTTTTAATTTGCATAAGTAAAAGCCTAATTTTTTCTCGCAACTTTGAGTCTTCAAAAAGAATTCATGTAGTTCTCAAACATGCGTTTAATATACAAAACGATAGAATACTAGAAAACACTAGAATAGAGCATCCCAAATCTACTATAGTTTATCTGACTGTCTAAGTAAGCAATAAATAGATTAAAAAATTCCTTTAGACGTTCTAGCAGAGTTACGAACTTTCTAAAGAAACAACTAGCAATTATTATCCTACAGCCATCAACACCAAATAACTGTAATGAGATCTAATTTATTAGAAACTATAGAAGCTTATTATTCAAGTGACAGATTTTCGTTACAGAGAAATTATAGCTCAGATATATTTGTAATATTTGTTTTTTAAATTATCAAATTAAACTTAGATAGTATAAAAAGTTGAAGTATAAGTTATGTTTTCGTATCACTTTTATTGACATACATAGATAGTAAAGTGATCTAATTAACTTTTGAATATAACTTTGTAAAAGCTCACGACATTTGCACTTTCATATCGATAGAGGTAAATTTATCACAGCCAATATCAGACTATGGGTTTGGAATATACTAGTAAAGACAAGCTATGTACACGAGTAGACAACATTGAACGGTATCAGTTTGAAGCATTGTTGAAAATATAAACAATGAACAAGAGACTGAAGAAATATCTGATCTCTGAAAACGAATCAGAAGAAGACACTTCCCAGACCCCGACTCATAGATTTGCGAATGAATAATTTAATCTGGTAAGATAATTGTTTTTAACATATTTTTTAAAACTATTTCTGATTCGTTTAGTAAAATTACAATATATTTGATATCTAATCGTCAAAAGGATGATTGGAAATACTAACTTTAAACAAACCCATATTAATACTAGCTGTGAGCTGTTGATTAATAATTCCAAAAATACAATAAAGATACACCTAACTCATCTAATTCAGTCACTTCCTGGTCCAAGCAACTCAAATCCAAAAACACTTTCAATGTCATAAATCTGTCCTCTAAAATATTAACTAAACACAACATAAACTTGTCAGTAATGGTCTCAATTTGCCTCCTACCCCTAAAAATATAGATAGCTTCAAAGTGCTTCCCTATTATTATCATTCTTTTAATCAAATTTTTCTTCTTACCATCCCGTGCTTTCCAAATAACAAGAAACCACTTATTCTTTACATGTTTCATACAATTAGAAATTGCAAAGAATAATTCAAGATTTTTCCAATATCTTAAACCGTAAGTTCCACCAAGGTGATGTGACTGGAAATTCTACATCTATACATTTCTACTTGTTTTTCTTCATGTCTGTAATTACTCTTGCATCGTATACAAAGAAATAAGGCATTTTGAAGAAGTTAAAATAAAAACTGTACTAGACTGAACAGCTACCATAATTGTGACGTCACAGCATGTGAGTCTCGTATTAGAACTAGAAATATGCGTAGGAATTAAAACAAGATCGTCAGTGTTTATTGGGATATTTATCCAGATTTCATAGCTCATAAGGTCAAATTCTGTGCCAACAAAGATCAACGTAAGAACACACATAGTCTACTTGTTAAGAGTCCGAACTGTTCCTTACCTGTTTACTTCATGGAAGATATATATATATATATACAGATATTAAGATCTCATATGCAAACCTATTTATTCTGTTTCTTGCTACATTAAACTAGCTCCTTCTACATCTTCATGAAAGTTAGCACACTATAGATTCTCATTCGGAAATATTTCACTTATCGCATTCGCCCAATGTTCCTTACAACTTGCAAGTGTATCAGATCTTATACCAAACTCAAAATCTCCGATCCAAAATTCGAAAAGAGAAATACAAAATGTTTTTGGAAACTTCAAAAAAGCTCAAACATTCCTGTTGACGGAAGAGATAGACGCTGCATGAACA